AGCAATATTAGCATTATTTTAAAGCTTAATAGAAAATATAGTCAACTTGAAAAAAAAAAATTCAGCTATATTTAATGAAGAAAAATCCGAAGGTGTTGATTGTAAATCATTATAAACGAATTTCTTTTAGTACAATTAAGCTTCCAATATCTATTCAAAATTAATTTTACTTTATTATTATGTTCATTTTAATCTCTCTCATTGTTTGATGTTATAGAGACATCAATGAATTTAATGGAGAGGTGTTTGGTATTTAGAGTATTTTATAAAGTTGATTGTGAAGTTGCAGTGACAAAAATAATTTAACTATTTTATTTATAAAATAAATAGTTTTTTATCATATAAATTTAAAAAAAAAAGTTAGAAAATGATCAAGAAGTAGTCAATCAGTACATATAAATTTAGGAGCATCATATAAATTTTGTATCAATGAAGATACAATTATTTTTATTTTTTGTATATGATTATATTGTATCTTCATCTAATATTATAAGAGGTGAACTTGTGTATTTATATGCATATATCTTTTTCATTTAATGTCATAGTTTATCATTTTTATTTTTATTTACCTATCAATTTTAAATGATATAGTCATATTTAATATGTATTATCTTGTAACATAGGTCATTTGATGTTTTTTTCATTTTAATGTTAAACAACATTGATAGAATTAACTATATACAAACATAAAATACATAGGATCGTTAATAAAACTGCAAATGCTATAACATAAAATGTAATCTCCTACCTCACCTCTTTGCTTTCTGATGTAAGCAATCAATTCAAGCTTGGTTCTGCCTCTAATTCCAGTGATTTAATTACACAAACTTCTTTCTTTCCTCTATCAGCTTCGATTTTACCAATTAGTTCAACTTCCTCTTCCTATCCTCCTTCGATTTCCATCGCATAGAACCAAGGAGGTCACTCCCTCTCCTTCCAAGTTTTTGATCAAAGCAACTTGCTTCTTCTGTCTTGTCTGATTGCAAAACTCTCCTTCTATCTCTGACTGAATTAGAATGCAAGAACCTTCCTTCCTATCAAATAGAAAAGCCTAGCTGAACAACCCTTTGACACAAGTACACTTTAATTGCTCTCATCTTCAACCTTCACCTTTGTATGCAGTCAAGTAGCAACAAATCATATAGCTTTCGCACAGTCTTTACCCATCAAAACAAACTGCACGAATTACTCTCTCATATGCACAACCTTCCTCTCAGTCATGCAGATTAGTCATGCAGATTCCTCTCTTCCTTGCATTTGACTTTGTTGAATCGAGTGAAGTCAATTTTGTTCATGTGACTTATGTGCGTTCAATTCACCGCCGGCCACATTAGCTTGAGCTCAATTGTGCTTCCTCACACTTAGCTATTTGACCTCATTCACCTGCACGCTTCTCGCTGATCACAACTCTCTAGGATTCCACTGAACCAATTCAATCGGGTGTAACATTAGGCTGGTTGAGATTCAAGTTTCGACTATAAGTTTTCTAAAATTAGAACTCATACAGTCGCAGTGTCGGTTTTTAAAACTCCTAATTCAAATATTTTTTTAAAGGATTCGTGTTTAATCAAATATATTTTTTTGATGTTGTATCAAGAATAGTGTTTATGATCCAAAATTTTTGCTCCACATTCTTTTGTTGTAAGTTTAATATGCCTCATTAGTTCTCCATTATGAATGCTAAGTGAAAACAGAAGATTTTGCCTATAAATTATACGCTTAACTTCTCTAGTTTTACACTTTAGTATTTAACATTATTTAACTCCAAACCAAACTTATTTTATTCCTATATGTTGTGAGTATAGCTCAAGTCGGCTTGCTGCTTCATACAAAATTAGTGTTTGGTGTTTATTTTAAGACACATTATATCAAGTTATAACTTTAGCAAAAGCAATGAATATTATTTATGAAAGAAAAAAAAAATCATAATTGTTCTATTATTTCATGTTGAAATTATAACATAAAAGGTCCAATTTTTAAAAGGGGCAGATTATTAATTGAATTTAGGTATAGGAGCTGACTTAGATCTTAATTTAGAAAGGAGCATAACCATAATTTTATTTTGCGGGTTTTAAGAAATCGGAAAATAAAATGACAGTTTAGAGCATCTCCAATGGAAAATCTCTTTTTTTACTCCAAAATACCTTGAAACTAAAAAAATGTCGTGATTCGTCTCCAATTGAACTCCATTTTTTCCCTTGTGTAGATAACCATTGTCTCTTCTTTCGCACGCAAGTTCGGTAGAGATATAAAAATGGAGGAAATGAACAGTGCAACGCCAATATTGGCGTCCCACTATTCACCCGCAACCAAATAGCAGAAGTTTTACCGTTCGGCTGGAACTGACGAGGGACGTCATTCAAGTGTTTGGAGTTCGGTTGGAGATGCCCTTATGACAGTGAATTTTTTTTCTGATTTCTTAGAAATCGAAAAATAATAAAACTTAGTGTAAATCATCTCTTATAATTATCCTCTGACTTCACACTAAAAAATAGTGCAAGTAAAAAATTCATGCTTATCTCTTTGCAGGAATTACTGTATTAGTAAATTACTTATAACAATGAAAAATATGACATCGAAAAATGATTCAAGAACATGATAAAGCAAAGGATCCAACAACTTTTGATTTAATTCAATTTTATAAGAAATCAGAAGATAGGTTTACGATTTCGTAAGAGTTTCTAAGGAAATCGATAGTTTTTCGGTATCTTAAAATACAATAAAAAAATTCATAGTTTTCATAAACCGTGATTTCATTTTCAGAATTCTTAGAACTCGTAAAATGAAATACCGGTTTTGTTTCTTTTTAAATTAAATTCTAAGTCAGCTCCTAAACCTAATTTCAATTGAACAAATTTTAAGGAGCTTTATTAATATTTAAATTAGCTCTAAGAGCATCATCTTAAAATAATTTAGAATGGAGCAAACTAATTAAATCATTTGGTGTATTCAATAGAATGCATCAAACAATTTGGCATTTTCAGAATGCACTAAACTGTTTGGTACATTCTATTGTTGCATTCTATAAAATGCATAGAATTCATGTCATTTTCAAAATACACCAAACGGTTTGATATATTCTATAGAATGCATCAAACAATTTGATGCATTCTAAATACTACTGCAGCTCTAAAATTTCATTAGAGTTTGGACAAATTAACACAAAGCATCATTAACATAGTAATTAGCTGATTAAGCATGCACAATAAACATATTTATAACCAGACAAAATCGTCTGTTTAAGCAAAAGAGCGAGTTGCTTATTAATCAAAATTTATTAAAAAAATTCATATATCTTCTTAATTTGTAAATTCATATATATTTATAAATTTGTCGAATTATTTTTAACAATTAAAATGTCATTATTGTCTTTTTTTATTTTGGGATACAGCATTCAATAAGCGTGGAAAGTGGGTGGGTGTGGGTGGGTATGAAGTCAGGAAAGTTACCATAAGTGGGTGTGGGTGGGCAAAGCCCGCCAGCATAGAGCGTGGGTACCCAATGGGTACCCAACCAGGACCCCATGTAGGGCTCTGGAGCTGACTTAGATCTTAATTTAAAAAGGAGCGGAATCGAAATTTCATTTTACGGGTTTTAAGAAATCGGAAAATAAAATGACAGTTTATGACAGTGAATTTTTTTCTGATTTCATAGAAACCGAAAAATAATAAAACTAGTGTAAATTCTCTCTTAAAATTATCCTCTGACGTAACACTAAAAATATAAAAAATAGTGCAAGTAAAGCATTCATGCTTATTCCCTTGCTCGGGAATTATTGTATTAGTAAATTACTTACAACAACGAAAAATATGACATCGGAGAATGATCCAAGAACATGATAAAGCAAAGGACCCAACAACTTCTGGTTTACTTCAGTGTTATAAGAAATCGGAAAATAGATTTACGATTTCGTAAGACTTTCTGAGGAAATCGAAAAAATAATTTTCCGTAAAAAAATTCATTGTTTCAGTAAACCGAGATTTCATTTTCAGATTTCTTAAAACTCCTAAAATGGAATATCGGTTTAAGTCAGCTCCTACACCTAAATTCAATTGAACAAATTTTAAGGAGCTTTATTAACATTTAAATTAGATCTAGGAGCATTATCTTAAAATAATTTAGAATGGAGCAAACTAACTAAACCGTTTGGTGTATTCAATAGAATGCACCAAATAATTTGGCATTTTCAGAATGTACTAAATTATTTGGTGCATTCTATAAAATGTTTGGTGCATTGTATAGAATATATGACATTTTCAGAATACATCAAACTGTTTGGTGTATTTTATAGAATGCACCAAACGGTTTAGTGCATTCTAAATACTACTACAGTTGCAAAATTTCATTAGAGTTCGGGCAATTTTACACAAAGCATCATTAGCATAGTAATTAGCTGATTAAGCATGCACAAAAAACGTATTTATAACCAGGCAAAATCGTCCGTTTAAGGAAAAGGACGAGTTGCACATTAATCAAAATTTGTTAAAAAAATCATATATCTTCTTAATTTGTAAATTCATATATATTTATAAATTTGACAAATTATTTTTAACAATTAAAATGTCATTACTGTCTTTTTATTTTATTTTGGGATATTTATAAGTCTAACATACATTAATAATTTAATTAGATGTAAGAGTTTTAAACTTATATTTTGACATAAGTTTAAACCTCTTACTTATGCCAAAATAAATAAGCAATTTCAAAATTTATGTCATAGAAACTCATCTTAAAAATAGAATAAGAATAAATATATATGCATAATTATCATAAGATTAAAAAAAATCTACATTATTTTATCAATTGAAAAATAAACCCTAATAACAAACAAGGTGCAATGAGGTGAACATTTTTTTAATGAAAAACATTTCAAATCTTTTACTTCTCTTATCTCATTCTAAATTCTCCAAACCCAACCCTTGTGTGTGTGGTTCTCCCTTCATCCCAACCCCAATCCTTGTCTCAAGCCTATGATCTATTGTTCTCAAATAAGCGAGCACAAACCTAAAAAAATAAATAAAAATCTCACTTTTTCGTTCATAGCCCTCACAAAGCTTCCATCCAACATCTCCCCTCCTTCCGCCCAACCTTATCTCAATTTCCATGGATTCCGACTCCGCTATTTCTCTTTCTTCTCCACCGCCAACGTCATCGCAAGCGTACAGCGGTGCGGCCAACGAGGAGGCGCCGGCGCCGGAGCTGGAGGAGTATGAGACTGCCTCGAGCCCCGAAGTTGATGACTCGGACTCCGCCGCCGTAACGGGGAAAGCCCCTTTGCCGGGTGAAAACCGCGTGACGAGCTCTCCTGCGACGGAGGATCAAAAGGCTGCATCGGAGGATGAAGGTGAGGCCCGTGACTCTAGCCAAAAAGGGGTTTTGGGGGAGAATTCTGATTCTGTGGGAGTTGGGGAGAAAAAGGGGGAGGATGAGAAGGAGGAAAATTTGCATGCTTCATTGCCGCAGAATCAGGTTGGAAGCGATGATTCTGGTGAGGGTGAAATTGGAAAGAATGTCGAGAATGGAGTTGGTGGGAGCTTGGTTGAAAAAGATGAGAACTTGGGTGAGGAAACGGACAAAGTTAACAACTTAGTTACGGAAGGATCCCAGGAGCCGGAGGGCAAGGAAGCGGGAGGAAATGAATCCAATGATACTGCAATGGAGCCCAAGGCAAGCGAAACTACCGAATCTGATTCTGCCGCTTCAATAAATCAAAGCGATATTGAGGAAGTGGTGCCAAAGGGTATTGAAACTGAATCTAATGTTGATACGACTGGTGAGGTTGGAACTAGTACTCAAGAAGGATTTGGTGCTGTTGTAGAGGAAGAGGAGAAGTCTGAGAACCCTGATGAGCTTTTACGTGCTGCTGATGATGTTTTGGAGCATAACAATGTCGTTGCGACTGGTGATATTGGAGCTGATACTCAAGAAGGATTTGATGCTGTTGCAGAGGTAGAGGAAGAGTCTGTGAAATCTGATGAAATTTTACCTGCTGATGATGATGTTTTGGAGCATAAAAATGTTGTTGCAGTAGAGCCAAAGGGTGCAGAATTGGAAGCTAAAACAAATACTGATGGAGCTGACACAGTTGAACCTTTTGTAGATGATGCTAATGCCAGTGAAAGCATGGAAGTTGTAGATGAATCGGAAGGAGAGGTAAAGGCTGAAAATAAGTCTGTCAAGCAGGAGGAAATTGGTGCTAGTGATGCGGCAGGCTCTGAAAAAAATGCTGAAGCTCCTGAATTGGATTCTATCGATTCATTAAATGATGAAGTTGCGGAAAAGGAAGGGGGTTTTGTAGAGAGCCCTGCAATTGTGGATTCTGAGTCTGTGATGAGTACTGCAGATAAGATTGATCAAGTGAATCATAGCGAGATTAGTGAAAGAACTGCTAATTTGAATCAAGAAGTTGCTGATGAGAAAGATGTTATTGGTTTAGAGCATGTTCATAGCCTTGGTGAAGGTGAACAACTAACTGCAGATGAGGGTTCTTTGAATTCGGCTGTAGAGGAGGCCAATCTTCCTGACAGTGCAAAAGAAGCTGTGGTGGGGGATGAGAATACTCAAGGAACTACTACTGAAAATCTGCCTTCAAAGAGTACTGCTGATGATCTTCATCAATTGAATTCTAGTGAGATCAGTGAAAGAAGTACTTTGAGTCGAGAAATTGCTGATGGGAAGGTGGTGGTGAGTTCAGAACATTCTGCTATCTCTAATGAAGGTGATGTTGCATCCAAGTTCAATGCAGATGATAATTTGAACTCAACTGATGACTTGGTAACTCTCCCTGACACTGCAAAAGAAACTGTGGTTGGGGATAAGAATATTCCTGAAACTACCGTTGAAAATCTGTCTCAAGTTTCTGAATTAGATCAGCAGGTGGAACCTGCTGAGGACGAGAAAGATGAGGAGGATGAAGATGAAGATGAAGTTAGCAGAATCTCTGATGGCCCGGCAAGGGTTGCTATCTTGGATAGTCCTGAGGCAGCAAAGCAGATTATAAGGGAAATGGAGAGGATTTCCTCCAGTTCTCATTCAGGTCTTCAGGGCTCTCGGGATCATTCAAGCAATGCAGATGGACAGATTGTTTCTGACTCCGATGAAGTGCTGGATTCTGATGAGGATGGTGAAGGGGGCGAGCTGTTTGATTCTGCTGCATTGGCTGCACTGCTCAAAGCTGCAACTGGTTCTTCTGATGGAACAGTTACTGTCACTTCTCAAGATGCAGCTAGAATTTTTTCAGTGGACCGTCCAGCTGGTTTGGGAACTGCTCCATCACTGAGGCCAGCGGTTCCCCGTTCGACTCGTCCCAGCCTGTTTGCTTCCTCAGAGCTTGCTGCAGTTTCAGATCCTCATTCTATGGATGATGATGAGAAGAAGCTGCATGAGAAGGTTGAGCAGATCAGGGTGAAGTTCCTTCGCCTCGTTCATAGGTTGGGTCATTCTCCAGAAGATACAGTGGCTGCTCAGGTTCTTTATCGTCTGAGCCTTGCAGAAGGGATCAGGCAAGGCAGGCAAGTGAGCCGTGCTTTCAGTACCGAGAGTGCTAAAAAACAGGCCTTGCAACTTGAAGAGGAGGGGAAGGATGATTTGGACTTCTCATGCAACATTTTGGTCCTTGGCAAGACTGGTGTAGGCAAAAGTGCGACTATAAACTCCATTTTTGGTGAAGAGAGGTCTCATACCAATCCTTTTCAACTGGCAACAACTTCAGTGAGGGAGATTTCTGGTGTGGTCAATGGTGTTAAAATTCGTGTTATAGACACTCCTGGGCTCAAAGCTTCTATAATGGATCAACCAACAAATAGAAAAATTCTATCATCCATAAAGAAGTTTACAAAGAAGTGTCCTCCAGATATTGTTCTCTATGTGGACCGAATGGATACACAGACTCGAGATTTCAATGATTTGCCTCTGTTGAGGTCTATCACTACTGTCCTGGGCTCATCAATCTGGTTCAATGCTATTGTTGCTCTCACACACGCTGCTTCTGCTCCTCCTGATGGGCCCAATGGTTCGCCCTTGGGCTATGAAATGTTCATAGATCAAAGATCTCATGTGGTTCAGCTATCCATTCGACAAGCAGCTGCGGACATGCGGCTCATGAATCCAGTAGCTCTTGTTGAGAACCATCCTTCTTGCAGGAGGAATAGGGAGGGTGAGAGGGTTCTTCCTAATGGACTGAGCTGGAGGCCTCAATTACTTCTTTTGTCCTACTCATCAAAGATATTATCTGAAGCCAATTCCCTTTTGAAGCTTCAAGACTCTTCTCCTGGAAAGCTCTTTGGTTTCCGCCTTCGCTCCCCTCCACTTGCCTTCCTGTTATCTTCTCTTCTGCAATCCAGAGCGCATCCAAAGCTTTCCGGTGATCAGGGTGGTGATAATGCTGATTCTGATATTGACCTGGATGACTTGACGGATGCAGAACAGGATGAAGAAGAAGATGAGTTTGATCAGCTCCCACCATTTAAGCCTCTGAGAAAAGCTCAGATTGCCAAACTCACCAAGGAGCAAAGGCATGCTTATTTTGATGAGTATGATTACCGAGTTAAACTTCTTCAGAAGAAACAATGGAAGGAAGAGCTTCGGCAATTGAAAGAGATCAAGAAGAAAGGAAAGATCAATACAGATGAGTTTGCCAATGGTGATATGCCTGAAGATTATGATCAGGATGGTGGTCCTGCAGCCATACAAGTCCCTTTACCAGATATGGTACTCCCACCATCGTTTGACTGTGATAATCCTGCTTATCGCTACCGATTTCTGGAGCCAACATCTCAGCTTCTTACCCGACCTGTACTGGACACACATGGTTGGGACCATGATTGTGGTTACGACGGTGTCAGCATTGAAGAGAGTCTCGCCATTGCTGGTCGGTTTCCTACATCAATGGCAGTTCAGATCACAAAAGATAAGAAGGAGTTCAACATCCACCTAGACTCCTCCATTGCAGCCAAACATGGAGAACATGGCTCTACTCTTGCTGGGTTTGACATCCAATCTATTGGGAAACAGCTAGCTTACATATTCCGCGGTGAGACCAAATTTAAGAACTTGAAGAAGAACAAGACTGCAGCTGGAATATCTGTTACTTTCTTGGGGGAAACTGTAGCTACTGGATTGAAAGTTGAAGACAGAATATCAATCGGCAAGAGGCTTGGACTTGTGGCCAGCACTGGAGCAGTCCGTGCGCAGGGGGATGTTGCTTTTGGAGCTAACCTTGAGGCTCGCCTTAGAGAGAAAGATTATCCTTTTGGTCAAGCTCTTTCTACTTTGGGGTTGTCTCTGATGAAATGGAGGAATGACTTGGCTCTGGGAGCAAATTTGCAGTCTCAGTTTCCAGTTGGTAGGAATTCAAAGATGGCTGTTCGAGTTGGGCTGAACAACAAGCTTACTGGGCAGATAACGGTTCGGACAAGCACCTCAGAACAGCTTCAGATTGCACTTGCAGGTATCATTCCATTAGCTATCTCTATCTATAGGAGCATTGCGTCTAGTGAGTCATATTTGGATCACTAGATTTTGTTTTCTTTGCAAGTAAGTAGATTGTGAGAGGATCCCAAATTTAGCATTTCTTCACGATGAGCATGGTTTACTTTTGATGTTTTTCTTGTATCTGGAATAATGATTCTTCGTTTATAAACTATTGTAGTCCACCAGTTATTTTGATGATTAACGTTTTATATTAGATGTTCAAGTTGAAAATTTAAAATCTTTTGGAATCTGCAGTATTGATTTCTGGAATATCTGTCTTTTCAAATTATGCTATTAACTTTCTGTGTTTATGGTTTAAACACAATTTCAATGTTGTTTCAGTTCTATTATCTGATTTGTAGCCTTTTTAATTATCCTTTCCTTCTGTTCATTTATGTAATTCTTGTTGGTTTTGGTCAACAGAAGTTATTTCTATGAATCATGTAGCCTTTTAAGGCATTTTATCTGTGGTACTTCTATGTATTGCATATCATTCTCTCTGTGTATTTGGTATATTGTACAGCTTAATGAACCACTTGAGCTTGGCATTGCTATGAAACTCGTGTAGAATAATAGAAGAATTGTGTCGCTGTTTTCAAATTTTGCTAAAACCGACTGCTTTTTTTAATAGCTTTAACTCAATAGTGATATTGCCATATTTTTGCACTTAAGGTTTGCCTTTCTCGTATCCTGATTCTTTTACATGTTTCCTTGATATTTCCTAAACAGCAGCAAGTTCTTCTACAGATATCCTTGATCTTTCCTAAACACATCTTCAGCTGTCTTAAGTTTGTAGATAATTTACTAACATAGCCATTGCTGACTCACCATGTCATGGCATTTAACTTCCAGGTAAAGTGTCATTTTCTTTTCAAATAATTTTTTTTATTAGGTGTTTTATTAGTGTATCACCATGACTCATACCAATCTTTTTCAACAACAAAGACACAACAACAACAACATCAAGCCTTTGTCCCACTATGTGGGGTCGGCTACATGAATCCTTTTTCGTCATTGTGCCATGTTAAAAGTCAAATTCTCATTTAAATCAAATAAAGAAAGATCATTTCTAATATTTTCTAACCAATTCTTTTTAGGTCTACCTCAACCTTTCTTAACATTAGTCAAATCTAATACCTCAACTTTCCTAACCGGGTCATCAGAAGGCCTCCATTTAATGTGACCAAATCATCTAAGGCGACTCTCTCTAATCTTATCTTCCACTAGAGCTACTCCAACCTTTTCACGTTTTGTGTCCTATCTTTAAGGGTAAAGCCACTCATCCACCTAAGCATCCTCATCTCTACAACACTTAACTCAGTATTATGCTTCTTTTTTAATGGCCAACATTTGACACCATAAAGCATTGCAGGTCTTATCACCATCTTATAGAATTTTCCCTTAAGTTTGAGGGGGACTTTTCTATCGCACAACAAGCCCGATGCATTCCTCCACTTCAACCGACCAATCTTTTTCAACTGGCGAAAAAATTGATGACTATCCAAGTAGCCATATCTTCAAATGTTGAAGGAGATATCAGATAAAGAGGCAAAGTTGTACTTGATGCCTGTTTTCTCTTAAATTAGTTGTTGTAGTTGTTATATAAGTTTACAATGCATTTGAATGTTTTCCAATTACGTATTATGTGAAAATTTCTAGTCATAGAGGCAAAATTTTTATATAAAGGGTTCAGTCATTGTTCCTTCCTAAGGGATTTAAGCACTGCTACTTTAAGTCTGTGTTTACGATTGTTCTTTCAGTCAAGCAAGCCTCAGCTCTGTATCACTTCTGCAGCATTTCCCACTTCACTTCACATATCACCAACCGCTAAAATCCCTTCACCCCTCTCAGACAAGGTCCTCACTAGCCAAAATCGATCCATATCCATCCTCCCCACTCCCAAAAATAATTCGCCTTTAAAGATTACCTCTCAGACGCCTTTCAATTTCGATCTCCCCTTGTCTTCCATAGGTCTTCAACCACTATAGTAATCTTCTCCCATCACTCTTTGGCATCATTAACCCATCCTCACCATCCCCACGCAATGGATAAGCCTCTTTCTTCACTTGGCTAAGCTTACGCATCCCCACAAAAAGTTGGTTTTCCAAAGGTCCACCTTCCATACTATCATCTCCAATCCATACCCAACTAGAAGGCTTTATTCAATTACATTTCACCCCACTGTCCTTGCCGCTAGAAATAAAATATCACCACAATGGATTAGTAGAAAAACATACATTAACTAAATTTATAAGATAAAAAATAATAATAGGCAGGAAAATAATGATGAATCTCTTATTACAAAATATGCTATGAATAATTTTCAAAAGCTTTTACCTAATGATAGTTTCACTTTAATGTCTTTTTGAAGACTGGTACTTCCATCATTTATCATGATGATCATGTTATGCTTTCGATAATTTCCTTAGAAGAAAAGATTCAACAAGTGATCTCTAGTTTAGGTACAAATTATTTCAACTATTTGTCCTCCATTGCTTATAATTTTTTAAGATCATATTATATTTTTCTTTAGCTTATGATTTTTTAGTTATTAATATCTTATTTAAGAAAAGAGATAAGTATCTCATCACTTTTAAAAATGGATATAGTAAAACTAAGATTGATTATTTTCTTATAAAAAAATTAGATTGTTTAGATTGCAAATATTGTAAAGTTATTCCAAGAAAATTTATGAACCCAACATCGATTATTAGTTTTGAACTTTAAGATAAAAGGGCAGAAAATAAAAACTAAATTAAAATGATATTCTAGGATTAGATGGGGGCATTTAAAAAATATTAATAAAAATATTTTTCAGAGTAAGATTTTAGATTTTAAGACTTTGTTTGTGCATGAGGACGCTAACGTTATATGAGAAAAAGTGGTTAGTGATATTAAGAATATTATAAAAGATGTGCTTAGAGTTTCAAAGAGAAAAGCTTATAATAGTAAAAATAGTTTGGGGTGGAATCCAAATGTGCAAGAAAAGATAAAAAAATAAGAAGATATATTATAAAAATTAGTTTAGTTGTAAAAATTCTGATAATTAAGAAATATATAAAGATGTACGTAAGAAATTTAAGAAAGTAATATGCGATGCAAAGATTTTAACTTTTAATAATTTATATAATAGATTAGGTACTAAACATGGAGAAATATATATGTATAAGTTAGCCAAACAAAGAAATATGAGTAGTAAGGATTTAGTTCAAGTAAAATATATTAAGTACTTTTCGTAGAAGATGATATTCAACAAAGGTAGATGAGATATTTGCTAATTTTTTAAATGAAGAATGTGAAAATATGATTGACTTTAGTGACCTTAGCACCCTAAATGAAAATAAAAATTTATGTTTTTATCGGCGTATTAGTAATACTGAAGCTAGAGAGGCTTTAAAGAAAATGAAGTGCAGAGAATTTGTTGGAACTTATGATATTCCAATAGAGGTGTGGAAATGCTTAGGAGATGAAGGAATTTCTTGACTCACTAAACTTTTTAATAATGTTTTGAAGACAAAAAGATGGCAGATGAGTGGAGAATGAGTGTGTTAATTCCTATTTTTAAGAATAAAGGTGATGCACATGATTGGGCGAATTATAGAAGAATTAAGTTAATGCGTCATACTTTAAAACTATGGGAGCGAGTTATGGAGAGTAGGTTCTGCGTGATACTAATGTTTCTCAAAATCAATTTGGATTCATGTCGGGTAGGTTTACTATGGAAGCCATACATTTATTGAGAGATTTGATGGAGAAATATAGAGAGAATAAGGATGATCTACATATGATATTTGTTGATTTAGATAAAGCATATGATAAAGTTTCAAGAGAAGTGCTATGGAGAGTTCTTAAAAATAAAGGAGTTAATAACGCTTATATTCAACGCGTATGCATGAGTTATTACTTGTGTTCAAACACTAGGTTGTTTGACTAAGTATTTTCCTATTTCGGTTGGATTACATCAAGGATCAGCCTTAAGCCCATATCTTTTTGCTTTAGTCATATATGTCTCACTTGACATTTGCAAGAGGATGTACCTTGGTGTATGCTTTTTGTTGATTATATTTTTCTTGTTGATAAGACTAGAGAGTGGGTTGAAGGTAAACTTGAATTATGGAGGTCAACCTTAGAGTTTAAAGATTTTCGCGTGAGTATATTTAAAAATGAATATATGGAGTGTAATTTTAGTGGTAATAGACCTAGTGAGGGGATTGTGACTTTGGATGATCAAGTCATTAATAAAAGTACATATTTTAGATATCTTAGATCTATTGTTCAAAGTGATTGTGAAATAGTTGGGGATATTATCAGTAGAATTCAAATTGGATGGTTGAAGTGGAGGAATGCATCGGGTTTGTTGTGTGATAGAAAAGTCCCCCTCAAACTTAAGGGAAAATTCTATAAAATGATTGTGAGACTTGCAATGCTTTATTGTGCCGAATGTTGCCCATTAAAAGACAAGTATAATGCTAAGTTAAGTGTTGCAGAGATGAGGAGGCTCAGGTGGATGAGTGGCTTTAACCTTAGAGATAGGATACGAAATGTGCATATACGTGAAAAAGTTGGAGTAGCGCCTGTGGAAGATAAGATTAGAGAGAGTTGCTTTAGATGGTTTGGTCACATAAAACATTGGCCTTCCAATGACCCAGTTAGGAAAATAGAGGTGTTAGATTTGATTTATGTTAAGAAAGGTAGAGATGGACCTAAAAAGGTTTGGTTAGAAAATATTAGAAATGATCTTTCTTTATTAGCTTTAAACGAAATTTTGACTTTTAATAGGACACAATGGAGAAAAAATGATTCATGTAGCCGACCCCACGTAGTGGGACAAAAACTTGATGTTGTTGCTGTTTTCGTTGTCGTCGTCCCCTGCTTCAATTTTGGACCCTAAGAAGATTAAACAATCTCAGCATGATTATTGGTCTTTTAGCTTGTGTACCATTTTCAATAACTTATTGTCTTAAAATTATGCTAATATGATTCATTCCATCTTGGACAAATTTATCTCTTAGGTCTATAACATGATATATAGTATTTTCTTGTCATCAATCTGAAACAAATGAGTAATGTGGCTACTAAACTAGATATTATAGTTATTATTAGTAGAAATACCAATTGATGCTCCAAAGATCCTTCTGAAGATGTTGCCTATGGTGGCATTCTTCTTTATCATTCTAAGAACCCTATTTTTTTCCCCTGATACAAACATTTAGGGAACTTTAATTCTATTAATGCTGAACTTGGTGACTTCATCGTTTTGAACTTTGCTATAGGTGCTGACTGCTGATCTTACTAACATTTTTTATTGAAGTGAATGCCTTCTTTATCACACATTTTATTTATAATGAGGTCCTTGAAGTTGAAAAGCTGTAGCACCAAATGCAAAATTTTAAGCATTCACATAAAGTTTGACTTCAAATTTATTCACATTTATAGAATAGTGAGTGATGAGGCGACTGATTTTTTTGTGAATTTAGGAGTTCTATTGAAATATAACAGTGTTTCTCTGTTCTCTTAATTATGCTTTCTAGACTAATTGTGTTCTTATGGCTACCTCTCAACAATGTGATAGGAAGCACTTGAAGATCTCAAGTGAAACTTAACGATCTTGACAAAATCAATGAGAATACTTAACAAATAGAGGAAAAATCAAAGAAAAATAGCCCACTTTATTGAGAAAAATGAACTAACAGAAGAAAAACAAACAAAATACAAGTGATTCTCAATTTGAGAGGAGAATCGATCTCTCCCGATTCTTTAGACGCCGCTAGAGCCCAAAGGAAACCTGGGTCTAAGATAACTCAAATTTCAGCCAAATTCCATTTGTGCTAACCTTAGGAAAACAAATTATTTAATGCATATAATCCAAAAAGAATTCCCTGAATAGTCCGTACATTCAAATTTCCATCCTAACTCCTTCAAAAATCCTTCCCAAGAAGCTCTGTTGGACCAGGCAGCTTAAACGGCACGTACGGGAAGAGGCTGAACTCTTCCACCTGTTTCGCTTGAGTCGGTCCCATATGGACCGGCTGGATCGGTCTAATGGACCTTTCTAACACAATGTTTAAGGTTTGGTGTCATTATCTTTTGTGTTTCATTTTTGATGACCTTATCTTTGGTTCTGTAAGGCTTGAGTGGATGAATCCCTTGGCTTATTAGCTATGAGGTTTTGTTATCTAAAGCTTGAGTGAATGAATCTTTTGGCCGTGACGATTTTTATATTGATCATCACTTTCATTTTTATGTTGTACTCCTCTGGCCTTGGTTCAGTAGCGTTAACACTAGGGCTTAAAGTGGTAAATGCCTCTTAGATCGATCTTTTGTCAGTAAACTTTTAATGTCTTGGTTGTTTATGATGTTTCTAAGGTTTCATTTGGGATTATTTTTTTATTACTTAAAATAATTTTTTAGTAAAAAAAATTTACTGTCTCAAACAAAAGCCGTTCCAAACGAAACCTAATTTACAGCCCCACTTGCTGATTGCCACAACCTTGGTGTTGCTTTGTGGATCAGGAGAATTTGGCCAGATCACTCTTAGGCTTCGTTTGAGACGATTTTTTTTCTGCTACTTAAAACAACTTTCTAGTATAAAAATTTTAATTTTGTACTAGAAAGCTGTTTTATAAAGCAGTAAGAAAGTCATCCCAAACGAAGCCTTATATGGTTTTGTTTGGAGCGGCTTTTGTTTCATTTCCTTATATTCATTTCTTTCTTTAAATCTTTTAATTTGAATCTTAGGCTTCGTTTGGGACGGTTTTTTTTTATAATTTTTTAATATAAACATTTTTATACTAAAAAATTATTTTAAAAAATAATAAAAAAGTTGTCCCATCCGAAATCTTAATCATTCACTATTTTTTAAATGATGAAAAATGTGAATCATTAAAATTTTTTTGAGATAAATAACAAAATGTATGAGGATGAATAGTTCTACCCATTTATTTAGAAAATAGCCAATACAATGCATGGATAAAAAGATAAAACTTGTGTGATACGTACTAATTTTAAATTAAGAAACTTTTTTTTATGTCTATTAATAATTCAATTTCGAGCGAAATCAACCTTCATACAAAATCAACTAAAAATTATTCAATTTGATCTCGAGCCAAGCGAACTCTAATTGTAGATTTTTTTCAATTTGATTTGAATAAAGCTAATTGTGGCTCACTAATTTTTATTGAAGCTCAATTTTATCTCAAGCTTGATCAATTCAATTTAGACTGAGCTCAATTCAAATTTGATCTAATATGAACCCAATTTAGTTCTATTCAGCCTGAGCTCATCTAAATTTTCTAATTATTTAGGTATCATTTGGGACGGTTTTTTATAAATTCTTGAAGCAAATTTTTAGTACAAAAATTTTAATTTTATCTATCGGCAGCATAAAAATATCAAAATTTTGACATGAGCACTTCAAATCAAGCTCTTGTTTATTTTTTTTTTTTACAACCATTCCTCAATAGGTCTTGTTCATGTAAAAGAAAATAACCCCATATAATATATAGTTGAATTAAATATATATATATATATATAAGCCACCCATTTATTTTTTTTAAATCTTATAATATTGATAATGATTCAGCTTCAAATAGAGTTAATGTTAGCACAAGATTTGCTCAATTCATTTTTGACGGATCCTATTTAAACTTTAAAAAATCAATTAATAAACTATTACATGATGTTAATAATATGGTAAATTTAAAAGAATTATATAATAAATGTTATCTTCACATAAAAAGTTCTTTGTTTCTATAAGCTAAAGATAAAGATAAAAATATAAATATATATAGATTATATTAAGGGCCTACTTAGACAACTTTCTTACTGATTTAGGCTTCGTTTATGATAGCTTTCTTATTACTTCTTAAAGCAGTTTCCTAATAAAAAATTAAAAATTTTATACTAAGAAACTACTTTAAGAAGCAATAAGAAAACCGACCCAAACAAAGTCTTACTTTTTAGACCGCAACCATAATTTTTTGTTAGCTGCTAATTTATCAAAACTTTTAAGAAAATTTTATGCTAGAAAATTATTATTTCCAACAATTATCATGAAAGTTACTTTTTTCATAATAACTTTAGAACCACCTTCACAAAACACTACAAAAATCCAAAACAAATCCTAAATAGATTAAGCATTTTAAAAAATCTTATTTTGAAGTTTTCTCAATATGTTTCCTTCAAAGATGCTATACATTCATTTTCTTTAAATATTTAAAATAAAAATAAAATTTTTAGAAACCACATAAGAATTAGATCAACATTGGAAGTTCAGATCAGCTAAGAACCAAGAGAAATAAGCACATGACCAATAAATGACCTGTAACAGTGTAACTAAAGTAGTCTTACTAAAGCAGCCAATTTGAAGCAATAGCCAGGCTTGATTAATGGAGTATTTGAGATTTAAGCGTCTAAGAAAGCCTTTTTGGTTGGGATTTTCTTACAATGTAAGTGTAGTAGCTTTCTGCAATTTCCCTTTGGTTCTGTACAAGCTTTGAAATCTGCAAAGAGGATGGTAGCTTTGGACCTAGACAGAAGCATCCAGGTCAGTTAAATCTCCTGAAGCCGCTTTAGTTTCTACTTTATCATTAATCCCGGAGTAACTGCATAACTACTTCATTGAAATACTTAAATTCCGAATAGCCTAAAATAAGAAAGAAAACATGTAAGAAGAAAGATGGAAGAATTATTCTATGTGGACGCCGAACACAGTCCAGAGCCTAATGAAAATGCGCCACGTCATCTCCTACTCGGTACCGAGCTCGTTACAACTTCGTACTGAATGACGTGGCTGCATCTGATTCGCCTCTGGACGGTAAGCTGTGTATGGTGTCCGTACAGAATAATCTCTCAGAAAGAAAGATGGGAGTGTACTGAAAACCTGAACTTTCTTTGAGCAGTAATGTCTTTGCTTGGCCTTCACATCCCATCAACGACCTTGATTCCTGCTCGGCGATCCCAGTCCTCAGGAGAGGCAGCCTCATTCATTACCTTCTCTTGACCACGCCATAGAATCTAAACCACAAGCAATACATAAAACACCTTTGTAATGTACAGCTAATACCAATACTGCTGCAATTCTCAAATCCTTGAGATGAGTAATAGAGAAACTGGAACTTATCTAATAGCTCATCTGAAAAAATAAAAGGCTCAAAAGAGCCCCAAGACTATGGTAAGCCGTTTTTGTTTTTGGCCTAACTAATGCATCCAATTTAGCTCATTGACTCCCCAAATTTAGGCTTCGTTTGGGATGGCTTTGTTACTACTTCATGAAACAGCTTTTTAGTACAAAATTTGTAAATTTTGAACTAAAAAAGCTGCTTTAGGAAGTAAGAAAGCCATCCCAAACGAAACCGTAATTTAAAATTCTCTCGACTCCTCAAAACTGATCCAAAATAATCCAATAAAAAACTATTTCGAATCAAATTTGAAGAATCAAGAGATTAAATTGAATATATTAAATAATTGAGACTAAAATGGCATACAAATAGTTTAAAAATCATTTTGATCTTTTAAAATAATGAGAAGAATATCATACCTTGTCTATGACACCGAACTCTTGAGCCTTGATGGCATCCATATAAAATGGCCTCTGCATCACCTTGGATACTTTTTCCACTGGCTGGAGAAGAAAAGGTATACACAATTTTAAAGGACATTCAACGCTTTTCTGTTGAATAGAAATAAGTCAGATTCAACGGCACATACATTCCCGGTGTGTTTTGACAGTAATTTGACTAGTGTATCTCTGTTGGTGATAACCTGTGAAAAGCAAAATCAAATTTAACCCAGAAGAAAGTGATTTGATGCAGGATCAAGAGGCTTCATAGATACGTTATTGAACAAATGTGAAGAGCTTCATAGATACGTTATTGAACAAATGTGAAGAGCTGACAATGACTGAGAGGATCCTCCACTATTCACTGCTGTTTAGCAGGAAGAAGTAGACGTTATTCAAATTAATGAGTTTCGACCATTGCTCACGAGTTTTGACACGATTTCTATTCACGTTAGGGAAAGCATCAGTAGAGAGAAACGCTATAAATGTTGTTTAAGATATGCTGAACAGGCAAATTCTAAGAAATCTGTATTTATTCCTATTGGAAATAAATATTAAACATTAATTTAAGCTGATTTATTAGTATTTGAATTTGTGTTTAGGAACATGTTAGCAATGCAATGTATTTTTTTCCTAATTTTTGATTAATTCCAAATCTCGTTGGGGAAAACATCAATATTTAGTATATATGATTTGGCATAGTTTCAATTTTGATTCAATTTATATCACACATTTAAGACATCTCTAGTCTATTGTTCAATTTGGGGATATTGTTTGTAGAATTTAGGTTGGATGACTAAAGTGAAGGAAAGCATCAAGCTTGTTGTGTGATATAAAAGTACCCCAAAAACTTGGGAAAATTGTGTAAGGTTATGAGATCTACAATGCTATATGGTGCAAATGCTGGCCATTAAAAGAGAAGCATAAAATTAAGTTAGTTAAGTGCTCAGGTGAATGAGTGGCTTTTAACTTAGGTAAAATATGAAACTAGTATATATGTGAAAAGGTTGGAGCAGCTCCAGTGGCAGAAAAGATAAGAGAGTTGTCTTAGATGATTTGGTCACATAAAATGTCGGCCTTCTGATGACCCTATTAGGAGAGTAGGTGTATTAGATCCGGCCTATATTAAGAAAGGTAGAAGTAGACTTAAAAAAGATTTGGTTTGAAAGTATTACAATTTAAAAATGACTTTTTTATATTAGATTTAAATGAGAATTTGACTTTTAATTAAACACAATGGAGAAAAAGGATTCATATGGCCGACCCCGCTTAATAGATAAAGGTATATTGTTGTTTTATTTGTAGCGACTTGTCCTAAAAAGGTGTTAGAAGAGGGCTTATGGCTCCACTATGGATGTCAAATGTATTTGGGCATTGGTGCAATAGTTGGGTCCTCCTTTGGGCCGATAAAATTTGGATTGTGGATCTTGTCTGAGGGTAATCCAACCTCTTTCTCCATTTTTCTAGATTCAAGATTTTTGTAGGTTCGGACGCTGTTTTGAATTGCAATTCAGTTTCTGTTGCTGCATAGCGGAAATCTCAGCAAAGTTTGTTGCAATTTATGTTTGAATGAGGTAATTTCTTTTCTGTTGCTTCACCAAGACGTGAGATATGTTGCAGCATTTTATTATTGCAGTCGCCTGACGTGTGTAACGGGTGTTGTTGGGCTGCTTGGGATAAGAGTCTCGGATTTAGAAATTAAGGGAGAATTGGTCTTATCTTTTGGGGCTTAAATTCAAACTTGATTTGAGCTTATCCTTCGTCAACAATAGGAGTCTATAAATAAATTTTTTTAGACATAAAAATTACGATGAAATCATCTCCTTATACCAGCATTAGGCTTAGTTTCTCTTTGATTTTTTTTTTTTTCGTTCCTTGTTCTATTTCATTTAAATAATTTGATATTGACTTGTTTAGTGCTCTTAATTTCAATCAAAAAATTAACACATAGGAATAACAATTGCTCACTAATTTTTTATGTTTTAAAATTTTTGTTGCATTTTATGAATTGTTTTGATCATTTCATTATTCTATGAGTTTTAATTTGAGTATTATTAATTAAGACTTAAGGAAAACAAATTGTTGAATTAGCTAGGGACTTGTGACAGGTGGATCTTCGGTGTTTTTAAATGTATTCATACTGCAAATCATGCTAATTGCATTAAAAATCCTAACCATAAATCACTCTACATCAAATTTGTATCACAGCTTTAAAGTTGTGTCAACACGCACCTTAAACTTAGGGTTGATATTCAGAGCAACTTAATAGATCGTAAAATGAATAAATTTTAGTAACTTTTCAAAATCAATTGCCTGAATTACTGAATAAACCAAATCAATTATGTAAAGAAATTAACATAATTAAAGCATGAAATGAAACTTTGGAAACAAATCAAATTCAAGCGAACCTAAAGAGATTCTAAATGATGAACCCATTCATTTAAATATTAATTTTGGTAGGAGACAAGAAAATAGTTGAGCTAAATAATTTAGAGGTTTAACAATAATGCTTATGGACATCATACACGTCAAAATCTTTATGTCAATGATGACACAAAAAGAAAAGTTAAAGTTAAGGTGTCTAACAATGATAGTAAAATCGACCCTAAAGCAGCTACTGACTATCAATTGGATTTTCTCTTTTAACGGAATCTACTGCCACACAAATTCAATCTTTGATAGGTGAAATGAAACATACCTGCCAATAAAGTAACATAATGTGACCTATAGCCCATAACATAGCATAGTGTATATCATGTGCTATTTGCATGGTAAAGCATAGCAAGTAAAATGTCACGTGTTATATATTTTGTTTGCACGCTATAGTGCATATGAAACGCTATTTTTTTTTTCCTTTTTTTATTAATCTATTGGAATTACTTTTATGAAAAAGACAGTATGGTTAGAGATTACAAATAATATAATGATAATATTCCCTTTAATATGCTCAACTCTCATGCATAATGTCCCGCAACTCATTAGCCTTTATATGAAGTATATAGTGGCATGAACTCCTATAATACAATTGTGAATTTATATGATGCCTATAAAAATTTGCACAAAACCTTGATGCTTGTATCTAATATATTAATACAATTATATTTTATTTATATGACATTAATAGTCTTTTGCATTAGGAAATCATTCTATTATATTGTTGAAGTTTTAATAAATTATTCATGATTTTTAATATTTTATACTATTTTTCAAATATTGTGCACCACACCAAGCATTATAGCTCTATAAGATATTTGTGCTACGGTGGTATGAGCTCCGAAAATTGCGCTTGCTTTTCCATGAATGTTTTTTTATCAAATTTCTAAGAGGTAGCTTGGATATCAAATAATATACTACCTAGAGAAATTTTCATTATTTTGCGATAACTTTATAATCTAATTTGAGGTTTCCCAAAAGCAAACCCATATGGTTAATTACCTCGCCCGGTCAACTTCACGCACACAACTTGAAGCAATCCACAAACATAACTTTGATCTAGAGAGCACTCAATTGATCACAAATAAATCCATTCATTCAATCTATCAATCAATAATTAATATAATATTATCAAAGAGAAACCAACAAACCTAAGAAAAAGTCAAATTTAAAGAATATGACAAATTAAGCCATAATTAGAAATGGGCCTAGACAAAAAATTGGTTTGCGTCAGCCATGTTGTAGCCTAGTTTAATTCTTTATAATTAGTCTATAACTAATTGGTTGCAAGCTAATTTGGCCTGATTTGTACTGCATCAATAGGTTAAAATTTAGGCAATCTCACCAATATAATCTAGAGTCACCCTCTAAATAAAAACTGAAAGTCAATTATGATTGTAATTATATTATTCTTCAAGTAGTTTCCCAACACAAAAGAAAATATAAGATTGCAAGACAGATTATGCATGCAGCAACATTTAAGTGCTTTAATGTAACATATATGGATGCATTAGAGAAAAAAAATCCAACCTCTTTAGCACGGATAAGAACATCGCTTGCTGGCATCTGTCCAGATGATGGGACACGAGGTTGTTGAATCATGGCTAACAAAAGAAGCAATTTCAACGTGCAGCACAATGCAGTGATTCAAAGTCTGTTTCGTCTGAAACAGGAACTAAGGTTTCGTTTGGGACGATTTTTTTTACTGCTTCTTAAAGCAGCTATCTAGTACAAAAATTTTAATTTTTATATTAAAAAGCTGCTTTATGAAGCAGTAAGAAAGCCGTCCCAAACGAAGCCTAAGACTGAAAAAAATAATAATAATTTGGTGCATACCTTTGGCATGAGGCATCATAAACCGTCTACCTTTCTTTCCAGCAGAAAGAAGCAGGCAGGCCTGACCTATTGCAGCTCCAACAGCTACAGTTTGAATCTGCACTATTAAAAATCATTGGAAGAAATTAAATGAAAAAAAATAAAATAAAAAAATTCTACCGAGATTACAATCCAAAGATAAGAACAATAAATATTATATTTAAACATATATGCATATACAATTATAATTGAGTATAATAACAAAGAAATAAAAAATAGCATCTAAGGAAAGAAAGTGCAGATGATGGGGACATCAGTTGGAAAGTCTACCGTCGACGTGGCCGTAGATCTACGGCCACGATTTACCTGATGTACTTTTGATTTTAGTATTGTTATTTTCTTTTGATGTATTTTATTTCAGCATTTTTTCCTTTTTACCCTTGCTTAAGGGATTGAGTCATGTAGCCCCTTGAGGGTATTTGAGTCCTTTTACTTTATGTCATTGTAATAGGCTATTTAAGGCCTTCCTCTTGTACTTTTGAAGCTAATGAATGATGTTAAGAAATTTTCCTGCACATTTCTTCTTGAAGCTTTTTGTGAGAGCTTGAGAGAGTTTAAGAGCTAGGTGGAGCCTAGGAGAGGCCACCCATCGTACCCAACACCGGTGGCTCTTGGTCTATCCTCCTCCCTTATTTCCCCTCTACCCAACGTCCACCGCCGGTCATCCCCCACCACCAATCACCACCTCCTAACTTCACCATCCAAGCTCAATCACCCCAAAACCACCCCTCCCATTCATCCCGCCGACCATCCCATTAACCGCCGGCCTCCACTTCATTCACCAATCCACTCCCGTTAATTGCCGGCTCCTTTGCCGCCACCTCATGTATTTTCAAATTTGAAATTTGAAAATTTTGATGAGTGAAAGTTTCCAAATTTGTCCAGTGCCAAATTAGGAAAGTTTCAATGAGGTTTCAATTTCAAATTTAAATTGAAACAGATTTGAAATTTTTCTTCATTAATTTGTTGGAGCTAATTAGGAAACCCATTACCCTCTCCCCAAACCTCCTCCCCCCTTCACCATGCCGCCGGCCCCCCTCTTGATGCCCCCCCTCTTTAATGCCTCATTAAAGCTCCTAATTGCATGTCTTTGAAATTCAAATTTCAGAATTTTCCCTCCACTTCTACTCAAAATCTGAGAATAATTTTGGTATGGAGATTATAACATATTTTCTTCATCCCATTTAGTTTTCTCCTAACCCTAGCCTCTTCCTCTCTCTCTCCCTCTCCCTCTCTAGGTCTTTCTCTCTTTACATGATAATGACGCATGGTCTCTCCGGTGTTTGATTCCTACTTCGCATCCGACGGTCAAGGCATAGTGGATCTTCTCAAATCTCCGTCGTCGGCGTGATTCCAATCATTGACGGATCCCTAGAAATTTCTTCCTCCTGTAGCAATTGTTGAAGAGGACTAACGAAAGGCACGTGGTGAATCACGACGTCTCTCCAAGAAGGTGATCTTCTTCTTTGACTCACTTACTTTCAAATTCTAATTACTTTGTTGAGAGTTTGTTCAAGCAAGAGATTGTGTCTACTAGTCGCCATCCACTAGCAAGCGTAGGTTTGTTACTTCTTTGCTCTTAGATCTCATTGTTATGTCTTGGTTAAGTTGGAAACTACTCCGCATGCAATGTTTTAATTTTCCTAAGTGTTTTGATTGTGCTTAGTCTCTTGCGTAGCTTAGCCTAAACGGAATTGACCATCTTTGAGTTTTACTTTGTTGTTTTAATCACGAATAATAAAAATCTGAAATTGTTCTTAAACTATTTTGTGCAAGTTTCCTTTTCGCATATTGTTCTGCATCAGCAGATGCTGTGTTGTTTCTGTATATCATCAAAGGTGACTTCCCAGTTAAGTTCCTAGAGTAGAAATTGTCAAACAACTCCATAGGGCAGATAGTCTCAATAATTCGATAAATGGAAAATTGTCCAATGCCTCCACTGAAACATTAAGAAACGCTTTTATTTTTCCTACATCTGAAAACCACCTCACGAAACTTCAAATTTATGTCACGTAGCCCAAATCTGGCAACAAAAAAAGCTTATATTTTAACTCTGATCTACTCTCGAGTTGAAATGGTCCTCCTGGATCAGTTTGAAGGTCAAACAATAGTTTCACATGATCAAAGATTAGCCAGGCCAATTAAAAATGATTTCAAGCAAAAAGAAAAAATGCAAGGAAAACTTGTTCAAGCAAAAGAAGTGGAAGCTCAACAAAGTTAGAAATCAACGCAAGATTGAAGGATGCAAAGGGTGAAAAGGAAAGAAAAATGGTTAACCTCATTTTTCAGCTGCATCATAGCATCATAAATAGCAAAACCTTCAGTCTCCATTCCGACCTGCAGAAGACAAATATACATGAGATGTAGTGCTTTTATATGCATGACCGTAGTAGTTGTACCGCAGAAATCAACATCAAACTGAGACATATTGATAATAATAATAAACAACAGCTATAAAAGCAAAGACTAGATACTCCAAAAGCACACATAATTTGGCATGTAAAAAGAACTGGACTTCTTATATATTGTAATAACAAATCTAGTGGAGCTACAGTGCTTCATCTCAACGCCAGAATCATCTTCAAAATAATTTTGCACAACCTAAGACAATCTTGAATGACAAACCCGGAATAAAGGACACTTGGCATGGAAGCTATGAATCTGGATTCGTTTTTAAAAGGTAAAAATAAGAGGGAATACTACTACCATGGATTTGTGGAAAAGAACAATTCGTTGGCTTATAAAAAAAATTTTAAAATCTCTTGAGAAAAAGATGCTTGAGAGAGCTAACAATTGTTGACCTCGATTTTGCCCAGACTTGGGCATGATGGACTGAGTTGACCAAGTCAACCTTTGACTTGGTCAACCCAAGTCCTAATGGGTCAATTTTGACCCATTAGGCCCATTAAGAGCCCAAATCCATTTGAAATCAAATCGGATCCATATCATGGCTTGATCTCTTCCCCCATTGACCTATTTTGACTGGTTTGACCAAGTCAAACTCTGACTTGGTCAAACCAAGCCTTCAATAGGTTAATTTAACCTATTTATGTGAATTTAAAGCACACTTAATGGGTTTAATGGCCCTTAAAGCATGGAAATTCAAAATCCCGTCCCAATCAGATCAATTTCCCTCCAAATCACCTAGGGATTTGATCCCAACCGTTCACCTTAGGTTTAGGGTCCTTAAATAGCAAAATTTTGATCTTTTTTTGGACTTTTTGACTCTTGCTTGATCTCTAGAGCTCCTCAGCCCCTGAGATTTGGTGAGAGTATTTCCACGACCTTTCCCCATATTCCCCAACCAAATCCCGACCACCTCAGGCCGCCGGCGACGAGAAGTCCGGCGAACCCGACCGTGAAACCATTCCGAGGCGAATCCCGTTCGATCGAGGAAGCGTTGGAGCTTGGTGTCAACTAGAGACTTATTCTAGAGGATCCCACGAGTCCAACAAGACCAAGATCTCCCGAATCCACCGAGTGGATTGAGGTAAATCTCAAACCCTAGTTAGAACACTTAGGGTTAATTAGCCTTAGTCTAGTTCCTAGGAGAACCCGGGACTCTCCGAAATTGGCTAATGCAACTTAAACTTCAAATATGAATATCCTAAGCTCTTAAAATTGATCAACAAACTGAAATAATTAAAATGGACCCTAATTCACTAATATTTGAACTTTAACAAAATTCCCTTTTCAGACCCCCAACAAACCTGAACTCTAGCTAACTTTAACTAACTATCCTACTTAGGATCTATCCAAACCACACTAGCCTTACACACACATAGAATTGTTTGCTAGGGCACCACTTCTAGAGCTAGGTTAGGCCGCTGGGATTTACTTTTCTGCTGTGTGCCGGAGCTTTCCGTGGATTTCATTGCATGCTGTTTGAAATTGTTGGTGTGTTTGCTTACTTTTTCTGTACTCTGTGATGTGATGAGCGTTAGACTTACCCATAGGTTAGGAGCGCTATATATATACTGTTCTTCCGTGCAGGTGGCCATGCTCAATGCTAATAAAAAGGGGGGAGCATCATAATAATTTCTAATAATGTTTTATGCAGGTGCTTGCTCAGCTCCCCCTAAAATGAAATGAGGGCTAAAATTATTAAATTATTATAACTGCTACAGATGGAGCTGCTTAGCCCTCAAAATTAAGAGCATGGCTTGGCACAGGGTCACTGGTGTTAGCATTTTCATTTTTATATAAACTGCTTGGGATTTTTATTAGGATAACCTTGCAGGGATTCTTAGATTTACTGCTTTCAATTAATGTAAAAATTTGTAATAATTGTTAAGAGTTGTGAAAACAACTTTTGAGTTGGGATATTCTTATCCAGCTCGGATTCTAAAAGAAGAAGGCATCCCTAAGGGGAGAGTCTTCTTCCATTTGGAAGATCGAGCTGGATGGCTTTAGATATCCAAAGAGAAAAGGCAATACCCCCATACTGGGGGAGTTGTCTCTTCGTTTGGATATTCAAGCCACGACGGATCCAAGGAGTCCAAGGAGGAGAGATCCAAGAAGTCCAAGGAGAAGATATCCAGAAGACTAAAGATTTGAAGACCCAATATCCCACTCAAAGTTGTTGGCGTCTGTCATAGGCTTAGAAATCCGGGTTGTTGGCAGTGGTGCCCGGCCACTTTACTTTTCTGCATACCCTGGGTTGTAATTAAAGGGCAGTTGGCCTATGGACATTTACTTGATTAGTTTGATTTATATTGATGTGTTTACCTGATTGCGCAGTAGAAATTGCCTGCTTTTTCTAGGTTTGTTTCTTGCATGCCGCTTTTGTTTTCGCCTGGATTTTCGTTAGGCTCTTTAAGGACTACAAAATTTTTCTACTCATAACTAATTCCTAAAATTTTAAGTTCTAAATAATATAGAAACTTAACGAACCTAGGGAATTGCCGGAGCCGTCCGGGGTCGCATGCATATTACTGCATTCTTCTCTCCTTCTTATAAGACATCTCCCTGCCTGCGGGTTGAGTCCGGATAATCTGGCCTATGAGGATGAAGTGCCGGACCTAGGGAGACCCAGTCTTTTCAAAAAATTATTTTCTATAAGCCTGTTTTTAAAGTTCTATAGCATTCATGAGCTGACATTTCAACTAGCATGCATTGCATTAGAAATCAATTTAATTAAAATTTAATTGCATTAGCTAGGAGCATCTGACCCACATAAGTCTAGGACCACTTAGGAAATTCTCTAGATGTCGGTCCTATTTCCAAAGAACTGTACCACCCACCTATCTATCATAACTGACTTGACAGCATGGTTTTAAATCGATTAGGTGGTTAGCTGGCTCCCCCAATCCAGGCCGGGGTAAGTCCAGGTTTTGCATAGCATTAGCTAGGACACTGGCCTTAGTGTGTGTCGAACACTAAGTCCAATCTAGATTTAGGATTCAAGGCTACTACATCCGGTCTCGTAGTATGCCTTAAATAGTAGGTAGGTCCCTTCTTTTCAGGGACCCTAAATCCTACTTATCCGCGTCACAGGATGACGCCACCTCCATCTCTTCTCTCACGCATGTGATCGAGTGCTTGATTTATTTTCTCCAGTTTTTGTTTAGTACCCTAGAGCCTCCAGATGCTGGTATGAGCCACGCATGTTGACTGAGCCTTTTTGAGACCTTTCTTTCCTTTGAGTAGGATTTCCTAGTCTATACCCTTGTGCTAATCCCAATTTGGAAAAGATAATGTATGATCCTTAATCGAGAGTTTTCTCGGGCTCCGGCCCGGGATGTAATTAACCACGGGGGCTTGCGCCCGTGGGAAACTTGGCCCCGCAATCTACTTTACCCCACTCGATCTCTCGGATCGGGTGGGGGAAACCCGTGACTAGGTCGTGTATATTGCTACCCATCGGGGTGTGCTGGCGACAGCATCTATCCCCAATGGTCAGTCGTATGCGCGATCCAATCTGCCCTCCCATCGACCCGTTCGTGTCGAGCGTAGAGGCCTACGATCGTTTTGTCCTACGGGATAGTGCGGCCGTACCCTCTGCATTCGAACCCCCGCGAGCGGTGCTCCTTCGGAGGTCCACAACAATGTCAATGAAATGATCATAGTACTCTTGAGACAGAATGAACTCAGATGAAGCGGAAGTGCCAAAGGTGGTCAGAAAGGAGTTAGAGGCATGCTGAGCATAAGAGGGACATTTGAACTTGGCACAGCAACAATTTGAGGAATGATTTGTGTCGCTACAAAGAGAGGAAAAGGAAATGCATTCCGTCATGGCCACGGCCACTAATCGTCATGATTCCTCATACCAAAGGTAGATTGGTCAAAGGGCAGAGGAAGTCAAAAGCTCAATGACCTGAAAAACTCAAAAGGAAGTATTGGTAATGTTGGGAAGGTCAGAACCAATTGTCAACTAAGATTGTATAAGTTAGAGGGAAGGAGGAAGATCAAGGAAAATTTTCATTCTGCTTTTGTGAGATGGTCAAATCAATAGTTAATAGTCTATTGTAAAATCTTATCCCACGTTCCTCAAAAGAAACTCTATTATTTAAAAATGGGCAAATCATGTTGTTGAAGAGAAAGATCTTATTATATAGTAGACATGAGATAGATTACATTTTCTAAATAGCTAAAATGAATAAAAACCCACATCTTCTTGGTGGTAATTTAGGACATGACGGACAAGATCGTTTGATGATGGTATCAATAGAGGAGGGTTTCGACTCATTGAGAGGGCATGGAGAGCCATGACACCAAGAGGAGAGAAGCACAGAGAATTTAAGAGTAGACACAGATCATTGAGTGTAGGCAAGGGAAGGACTAGCTCTAAGGGGTAAGCGACAGCAGGATGCATAGAGAAAATGTGATGGTGGGAGGAGACTAAAGATCATTGTAGATGAGGCACTGCAAGAATTGTTATGGCTGTAAGATAAGGCTGACATAGAATACAAGGGTGGGCCAAGCTTGTTAATAGAACAAAATAGTGTAAGAAATAGTCATAGTGTAGTGAGGCACACCTCTTGCGCTACTAGTGTAGCAATGCCCGTTAAGGTAAAATGACATGCTATTTTTTAATTTTTCTTGTTTAGATTTTTATTCTTTGATTTGAGGATGATTTATTTAGTTTACATGAAATATAATAGGGCCTTACAAATTCAACCATTATAGCATTATTGAAACAATTTTTTTTTAATGATGTGGTTCATGCTAATGAGTGGTTAATAAGAAAATTGGATGATGAGTTAATAAATAGACTGAATTACCGTTTAGCAAACAAAAAATGGGATAGAGTAACATTAAGAGAGCAAGTGAAGTCCACGAAAGTAAATATAACGTTAGAGATTGATCTAAAGAAAAAAAAAAAGGAACCTACATCT